TTTACGTATTTATTTATTCACTTTACATTCTGATCTCAGCCCCCCTCCTCCAGTGCCCTCCCACATAGCCCCTCCCTATCTCTCCTTCCCCTTTTCCTCTAAGAAGGGGAAGCTCCCCCCACCCCCCGGGTACCAACCCACACTGGCACATCAAGTAACTGCAGGACTAGGTACTTCCTGAGACCAGACGAGGCAGCCCAGTTAGGGAAACAGGGTACACAGGCGGGCTACAGAGACAGGGACAGCTCCTGCTCAGTTGTTGGGGGACCTGCATGAAGACCAAACTGCCCTTCTGCTACATATGTGTGGGTGGCCTAGGTCCAGCTCTTTGGTTGGTGGTTCTGTTGTTCCCATTTCTTGAACCCCAAAGGACTACCAAGGAGCCAATTCTGATGTAATCGCACTAGGGTCTTTATTCAAGCTCAAGCTTGGGCTACACCTCAGTCACTGACACAGAAGGATGGAAAATGAAGCCCTGAGCTCTCAGTGGGACAAGGCTTTATAGGAAACGGCAAGCAAGCGAGGGGGTTTCTAGCCTGAGACACGTCTGACTGGGGGGCTGTTAGGGAATTTTGTTGCTCTTTAAAATAATTGGCAGGTGCTGGGAGCCAAACCATAAATTTAACTTCTGCTCTCCTCCTGATTGGTGGTTGTTAGGAAGTGAAGTATCAGGGTCAGGCTTGTAATCTGGAGGTGCAGATTTGTTGGGGAGTAACCTGGAAACTGGTGCTAGAGAGTTCAACTTTAGGTCAGGTTCTCTAAGATAGAGTCTGAACCAAAGATCTGGTCGCTTAGTTCAATCTCTGGGAGCCCTCAAGGGTCCAGGTTAATTGACTCTGTTGGTCTTCTTTTGGAGTCCCTGTCCCCTCCCAGTCCCCCAATCCTTCCCATAACTCTTCCACAAGACTTTCCAAGCTCTGTCTAATGTTTGGCTCTGTATCTTTCCATCTCTTTCTGTCAGCTGCAGGGTGGAGCCTCTCAGTTATGCTAGGCTTCTGTCTGCAACTATAACAGTGTGTCATCAGTAGTGCCAGAGATTGATTCTTGTCCATTGGATGGGTCTCAGGTTGGGCAAGTCATTGATTAGCTATTTCTCTGTCTCTGCTTTATCAGAGTCCCCATACTTCTTTTAAGCAGGACAAATTTGGGGTGTTTTGTGGGTGGGTTGATGGATGTATTCCTCTACTTGAAGTCCTGCCTGGCTATAGGAGATGTCCACTTCAGGTTCCATATCCCCCACTGCGTGGCGTCTCAGCTAGAGTCCCGCTTATAGACTCCCTGGAATGTCTCCCATGCCAGGTCTCTGGCACATTTTGCAGATCCACCCCCTCTAATTTCTGTTTACCCTCTTGCCTTTTCTCTGGCTCTCCCTACACCTGATCCTAACCGTCCCTCTATTCCTCTCCCATCTTCTCTCCCATTCAGTTTCTTCCCTCTATCCACTTCCGATGACTATTTTATTTTCCCTTCTGAGTGAGATTCAAGCATCCTCCTTTGAGCCTTCCTTGTAATTTAGCCTTTTTGGGTCTATGGATTATAGCATGAATATCCTGTACTTTAGAGCTAATATCTAATTATAAGTGAGTATAAACTATGCATGTTCTTTTGGGTCTGAGTTACTTCCCTCAAGATGATATTTTCTGGTTTGATCCATTTGCCTGCAAATTTCATGATATCCTTGTTTTTAGTAGCTGAATAGTATTTCATTGTGTAAATGAACCATGTTTTCTTTGTCCATTCTTTGCTTGAGGGACATCTGGGTTGATTCCAGTATAAAGGAGGGTTTCTCATTTTTTTTTGAGTTAGTTTTTGTATCCAGCCACTTTGCTGAAGGTGTTCATTAGCTTTAGGAGTTCTCTGGTAGAGTTTTTGGGGGTCACTTATGCATACTCTCATATCATCTGCAAATAGTGATACTTTGACTTCTTTTCAATTCTGTATCCCCTTGGTCTCCTTTAGTTGTCTTATTGCCAGAACTTCAAGTATTATATTGAAAAGATATGGAGAGTGTGGACAGTCTTGATGTATTCCTGATTTTAGTGGAAGTGCTTTGAGTGCCTCTCCAATTTGATGTTGGCTGTTGGCTTGCTGTTTATTGCCTTTATTGTGTTTAGGTATGCACCTTGTATCCCTGCTCTCTCTAAGACTTTTATCATGAATGGGTGTTGGATTTTGTAAAACACTTTTTCAGCATCTAGTGAGATGATCATGTGGCTTTTTTCTTTCAGTTTGTTTATATGGTGGGTTATATTGATGGATTTTCATATATTGAACCACTCTCACATCCCTGGAATGAAGCCTACATGATCATGGTGGATGATGTCTTTGATGTGTTCTTGGATTTGGTTTGCGAGTATTTTATTGAATATTTTTACATTAACTTTCATAGGGAAATTGGTCTGAAATTCCCTTTCTTCGTTGAATCTTGTGTAGGTTAGGTAGCCGTGTGACTGTGGCCTCATAGAATGAGTTTGGCAATGGTTCTATTTCTATTTTGTGGGATAGTTTGAAGAGTATTGTATTAGCTCTTTTTAGAAAGTCTGATAGAATTCTTAGGTAAAACCATCTGACCCTGAGCTTTTTTGGTTGGGAGACTTTTAATGGCTGCTTCTATTTCCTTAGGGGTTACTGGACTATTTAGATTGTTTAGCTAATCTTGAATTAACTTTGGTATGTGGAATCTGTCTAGAAAACCATCTATTTCATTTAGATTTTTCCAATTTTGTGGAGTATAGGCTTTTGAAGTAAGGCCTAATGATTCATTGCATATCCTCACTGTCTGTTGTTATGTTCCCTTGTCATGTCTGATTTGTCAGTTTGGATGTTGTCTCTCTGACTTTTAGTTAGTTTGGCTAAGGGTTGTCTATCTTGTTGATTTTCTCAAAGAACCAGCTCTTTGTTTTGTTGATTCTTTATATTGTTCTCTTTGTTTCTAGTTTATTAACATCAGCCCTGAGTTTGACTATTTCCTGCTGTCTAATCCTCTGAGGTGTGTTTGCTTCTTTTTGTTCTAGAGATTTCGGGGGGGGGGCTGTTTAGTTGCTAGGTATGATATCTCTCCAATTTCTTAATGAAGGCACTCAGTGCTATAAACTTTCCTTTTAGCACTGCTTTCATTGTGTCAAGTAAGTCTGGGTATGTAGTGCATTTACTTTCATAGAATTCTAGAAAGTCTTTAATTTTTTTCTTTATTTTTTGGACCCCATGGTCATTGAGGAGACAGTCGTTCCATTCCCATGAATTTGTAGGTTTTCTGTTGTTTCTGTTGTTGTTGAAGTCCAGCTTAAATCATAGTGATCTGATAGGATACAAGGGATATTTCAGTCTTCTTAAGGATTGCTTTATGAAGGTTCCCTGAGGTACTGAGAAGAAAGTATATTCTTTTGTGTTTGGGTGAAATGTTCTGTAGACGTCTGTTAAGTCCACTTGATTTATAACATGTGTTAGTTTCATTATTTCTGTTTAGTTTCTATTTCAATGACCTATATCCATTAGTGAGAGAGGGCTGCTATTCAAGTCTCCTACTATGTGTGTCCAGTGTGTGATTTAAGCTTTTGTAATATTCCTTTTATAAATGTGGGTGCCCTTGCATCTAAGTTCATTTCTTTATAATTCATTCCATAGGAGGATTAGGAAGGAATTTCTAAGCTCCAGAAAGTCTAGAAATTCATATATCCAGAGTAGAATATTTCTTTCTTTAAACCAGCAGTTCTCAACCTGTGGGCTACAACCCATTTGCAAACCTCTAGCTCCAAAAATATTTACATTATGATTTATAACAGTAGAAAAATTACAGCTATGAAGTAAAAGTAGCAATAAAAATAATTTTATTGTTGGGCATCACCACAACTTAAGGAACTGTATGAAAGGGTTGCAGCATTAGGAAGGTCGAGAACTGCTGCTTTAAACCTTGGCAGATTTGTGACCGTCATTGTCATCATCATCATCATCATCATTATCAGCGACCAACTCACATCAGTGACATGAGAGATAATTACAAATAAGTAAAAAGTAAAAAAAAAAAAAAAAAAAAAACCAGAAAAATCAAGGCAACGTCATTCAGTGTCCAAAAGAGAAGAGAATTTCAAAGGTTTTCAGGAAAGTATGTAGCTGGCACTGCTCAGCTATGAACAGAATGTTCCCTTTTTGTAAGGGTGCCAGTGCTCCAATCCTGCCTTAACAGATCACGTTTCAATACGATGCGTGTTTGTTAGGTTGTAAACACTCAGAGTGTAATGTAGATATTATGACTTTATTTTCTTTTTAAGTGTGGTAGGGAGATAATCTTGGTATTTATAGTCTGTATTCACTCTCTTCAATGTCTGCGTGTTCTTACTCAAACTGGATATTTTATTGCCTCCATAAACTTTCTCAGTGGGGTTTTATGCTCCCAGCTGCTGTAGATAGGCAGTCCCCTGCCTCTATATACCTCCCTTCCTCAGCACACACTGTATTGTTTCTGCTTATCAGGAATTGAGGGCTAGGCCTTTGGGGAAGATCATTTTATACAGTCAAAAAGATTTATTGTGTCTGTACTGTGTGTAAGGGACTATAATTAGTTATAGTGGGAAAATGCAGACAAGAGCAACATTTGAATTTGTCTCTAAAAGGTGTGCAGTACAGAAGGGAGATGAGACAGGGATTTGAAGAATCCTCAATGTTGGAAGGATACAAACCTGAAGCAGACGTGAGGTAGCATGGCTTCTACTATGCAGCAACTATTATGCTCAGTCACTTACAGAAAACAGCAGATGGTAACATTTACACATTTCTCTTTTCCCTGAACTTCACTCCACAGTAATTATGTATCTCTTATGTGGCTCCTAAATCAGTGTATTTAGTCTTGGCAGCTAGATTGTGCACCCACTGAGGGCAAGTGCCATGTCTCATCATGAGATGTATGGTCGGAACTGAACAGAGCCTGTGCTAGCAACAGTTATATTTGCCTTGAGCTTGAAAGTGCTTTAATTTGCTAACTGTGCTTCTGTCTATGCCCTCAGGTATTTTCGCGCCTCTTTCAAAGATAAGTAAAGTAAAAGATGGGAGGAAAAACACCACACATCCTTCCACGAGAGCTGCCCTTCACACCCGATCCCAGAAGGTTGATGTAGCCCATGTCACATCCAAAGTAAATTCCGGTAGGTCACGCTGGGGAGATCAGCAGCTCCTAAACCATACTTCGAACTGTGTTTGCTGGGTTCAGGTATTTGGACTGCTTCACTCTGTTAGTCCACCACAAAGACCGAACCCCACAAAAGCAAGGCCTTTGTGGTTTGGGCCTCAGTTATGAATATGACTTAAGTCTCTGACAACGGCTTCTTTCCTTTCCCACTTTCTGTACTTCAAATGGCCTGTGATCAGGCTCCGGGCTGGATTTTATGCTTCTAGTGAGTCTTCATGAAATACAGCTTGCTTCCTGCACCTTGCCTCTTCTGCAGTGTCCCTCAGTTGCTCAGAGGGACCCCTTTCTGCTCCTGCGATTAGCTCTGCTTTAAACCTGCCCTGCTGCATTCTCCCCTCTGTCTCTTCTCACCTGTGGGCAGCTGTTGGAGGTCCTTCCTGTTCCTCACTCTGTACAAATTCTGCTGAGGAGTCCGTCTCATTGAACCTCCTTGTTCTCTAACCTTGTATGTACATTCTTTTAACCGGCACAGCCTGTTGTTAGCTTGTCCACTTACTGCTTTATGTATGTAGATCTTCTGTTCTCTCAGTCAGATTCTAAACTTTAAGTAGACTGTGAGAATAATTTGTGATTTTGTATTCATAGACGCTCATAGCACAAAATAGGTATTCAGTAAATACTAGCAGCTGGAGCAGAAAGACTTTCCACCATCTAAAAGGATGGCACTCAGACACTGGATTTGTCTTTCTCTTCTGTTCTGTTTGGATGCTAGACTACCTGTGGTTATACTTCATAATTCCCTCGATGTGATATCCAGCAGAGAGGACTGCCTTACTACTTCTTAGAGATCATCTCCCTTCTTTGAGGCCCCACAGGTCATATACTCCCTCACACATCGTAAAGTAAGGTCTCGAAAGTCCCTTTCACAACATCTACTGACATCTAAGCAGACATTACAGTTAGTCCCTGTGCCAGTTTGAAAAGGCCTGGCATTGTTACAGCCGTTTTAAATTATGTACTTGGAACAATTTTCTGTTTGGTCAGATAATTTAAAATATCTTAATATGATTGTAAAGGTTTTTTTCCGTGTAGATATTTTTGGCCTGTTTGTTAGATCTGTTCCTAGATACTCTGTACTTGGGGTACTTAATGAAACCCCTCCCTTCAAAAACCCCAACCCAAACCAATATAAAGAATATATCATGGTCATACTTTCCATGAAAATTAAGGTGAGCTCTCTTACAGTCTGTGTTTATGTGTATGAATGCATACACATGTATGTGTGCCCCCCACACACATGCAAACGCATATGCACATGCATGTAAATACGTCAGATAAACCTAATGTAACCAGAGTCACATTAGTGGATGAGAGTGATGCATGTTTCCCGTTTGGATACTGTTGTATAGTGTTATGAAATGCCTTTGGGGGGGAAGCGGGGCAGATACACAAAGAGATCTTTATACTATTCTTACGACTTCATGTTCAGTTATTTTGATGACAGTTCAAATGAAAGGGCCAAATGGAATTCTAGGACTGAAAAATAAAATAACTGAAAGCTACACTCTGCAGGTTTTCTCACACTACAGCTGCTGTGGTGTCTCACGTACCTTTTGACTGCTGGAGCAAGTTCCACAGTGTCCAGCCTTCCCTCCTCCCTCTAGCTGTGGCTGCTAAAGAAATGTCACCTAGCTGCAGTTCTGTCCAGGCCTGTCCTCCCTTTCAAATCCAGGACAAGACTCACTCTCCACAGGACATTTCCACCTGCCCCCTCCACTGGATACTTGCAGCTCCTTCTCCTTCCTCCCCTCCCCTTTGTCCCATTCCCTAGCCTCCTCTTCTGCAGAACTAGGCTTGACCTCAGAGCCTAGCAATGCTAGGCAAGTACCGTCCAGTCCAGTTGAGCTGCACCCTTAGCTAGGCTTTCCTCTGAGGTGTCTGCTGCCTGTGTGGCTTGCTTCCCTCTCTGTCCTGGAGGACTCCTTTCCAGCCAGGCCACCCACAGGCTGTGTCTTTTTGTGAGATTTCCCCCTGACTTTCCAGAATCCCCACTCACTTCCTCCTACTAAGCCTCCTGCTTTGGGAAAGAACTTGACCCACTCAAGCCCCAACTCAGTGCATCTTGGTGAGCCACTGGTTCCTCTTTGCAGAGGAACCCTCACCCCCAAACGCCAACTTCATTGGTGTTTAGATAACAGTGGTCTTTGTCCACATTAAACTCAGAGGTCAGATGGCTGGGAATGGCTACTGACAATACAAAAAACCGTCTGGAAGCTCCCAGATGCTCTCTTTAAACAACCATTATTCACGAGCTCTCCCCGCCCCCACCCAGGTGAGGTTGTGGGAATTGGTTATGGTAGGAAACGTGTCATGTAAGTTATTCCCAAGTCCTGCTCGGCTACATCTCAGCTGTGACAGGTTTGCCACTCCCTAACTGTGTGACACAAGTTCTGAGCAAGCCTATTAACTACAGATACGATGCTGTGGATATTTTGGAGATCTGTAGCAGGGACAAAGCTGGAGTTCTTAGACATGCTGTGAACACATCCTCTTCTTTTTGCTTAGTTTTGCTGTGCTGGATCTAAGCAGGACTCGTGCATGCTCGGTAGGTGCTGTGTCTCCAAGCACATGTCTAGTTCACTTTCTCTACCTTAAATACTGAGTGCTCCTTCCTCCTGTCTGCGAAAGTGTATCCATCATGTTTTTACAAGTGGATAAGTGGTGCACACACCGTTAATGCCAGCACTCAGGAGGCAGAGGCGGGCAGACCTCTGTGAGTTTGAGGCCAGCCTGGTCTACAGAGTGAGTTCCAGGATAGCCAGGACTACACATTGAGACCTTTTCTGAAAACAAAACAGCATTGTCTTTTGCTGAAATTGTCTTTGTGTTTATTCACCAGGGTTGATGACATCCAAAAAAGAGAATGCTTCTGAATCCACACTGTCATTGCCTCCGAGTGAAGAACTGAAAACTGTTGCAGAAAATGATGGTAATGTACCCATTGCTTCCTGTTCTTAACGCTACGTCCACTGGCAGGATTTATAACACAGTGCAAACTGGCTTATATGATTTGGGTTAGGACTGGGAAAGGGGGAAGGGGAAAATCACCATAGTAAAACTACTCTTGAAAAAAAAACCTTTAAAAATATGGAGGCATAAAGAACTCAGGGCCTAGCCGGGTCCACAGTGTGGGAGTTGTGGTCAGACTTTCGGTCTCAGGAAGGAGGAGCCTGTGCAGTCTTGCTCACCTTCAGGCTGTCTACAGAATGATTCAGGGTTAAAATCTTGTCACCTTAAGACGTGTTAGTAGTGTGCATACGTGCATATACGTGTACGTGTGTATTTGAAGGGACTCTGTTAGAGTTTCCTCTAAGGAGAGTGGAGTGTGTGTGTGTGTTAGGTTAGTTAGCATTAATTGGTAGGGTGACACGCCCTATGTAAGATATGTTACTGTGAATCCTTAAAACTTTCTGCTTGTGTAAACATCTATCTATTTTGGGTGTAAATAGCCATGCATTTGGATGAAATCAGGCATTTAATCTGACACTAGATAATCCACAATCGAGGAAGCTAAATGAAGCGTTTCAGAAAACATCTTATTAGTCCTTTTCTTCCCTCTCTCAATCTCTCTCTCTCTCTCTCTCTCTCTCTCTCTCTCTTTCTTTCTTTCTTTCTTTTTTTCTCTTTCTAAAAGCACCATTTGAATTGTGATTCTTTCCTGCTCCTTTGTCAGCTACCCAACCTGGGTCTGTCAGCAGCTCCTCCTCCACGTCCTCCCTGGACCAGAAGCAGAGCTACCCAAAGAAGCTGACCACAAGCAGCAGTGGCAAGAAGACCTTGAGCAAAAGTTCCTCTCTCCCGGCCAGAGCCAGTGCTGGTATCTATGGCTTTTTCAACCAGGCTTTCTTGGTGTTTTTTATCTTGGTTTGTTTGTAAGTGGATTTGCTCTTTTTAATGTGTAGAAGGAGCCCTTTCCCCTTCTCCCTCTCCTTCCCTTTCCCCTCCCCCTCCCCCTTTACCCTTTCCTGCTCCCCTTGCCCCTCCCCCTCTTCTCCCTTCACCCCAGGCAGATTGAGCTGTCTTGCTCTTTGGGTGACACTATGTAGGCACCCTTTACCACTTTGTCCCCGTGCTTCAGTCACACTGGACTTCATGCTGTGTCACTGCCTCCCCAGCCTGCAGTCAGGACTCCTGGCTCTGCAGTTGGTTTGAGAGGCCATGTTTACTGTCATCTAGTTGGTAGGCTTTGCATCTCAGCCCTCCCACACACCTGCCTTTGTCCTGTTTAGAAAAGCATCTCCGCTCTGCTTTTACTGAAGTCATTTGAAGCCATGCAGGAGAGGCTTAGGGGTCCCCAGGGGACAGTGATTAGTGGCTCACACTACTTTTCAGGATATGGGACAGTATGAAAGCACACACCCAGGCTTCCAGCTCAAGTCCACATAGATGGTGACAAACATTGTTTACCTTGTCCTTAAACCCTCAGCAGTGACCTAATACAGGAAAGCAGAAGTGGGGATCTGAAAAGTGGGGAGCCAAGAGGTTGGGCCTGGAGTTGCTTCTGTGCAGCACTGTTCGTCCCCCTACTCCCCCCCCCCCAACCAGTTTCTCTTCTGGGTCCTGAGGAACAGAGGGCAGTAGGCAGTGGCATGGCTGCCCTGTTCTTACTTTATTGCATTTTAAATACCCCTGTATTTGGAAGTTGGACTTCTGACGTTTACTCGATTTTAGAATTTATATATGAGTTTAGAATGGCCTCCTTTCTCCCTTTCCCTGGAACAAGCAGTTCCAGGGTGCCTATAGACTTACTCTTTTTTTCTTTTTATTCAGTTGAGGATTGTGTTGACATGAATTATAGTGAGTATGAAGGTGATAATCAGAATGAAAAAACAATTGCCCTTCCCTGGGGAAAGGCAGAGAATGGAAGGTGTGTGTAGCTGGGGTAGGAGTGTCCGTGTTTGGAGCCCCAGACACATTTCCTTCAACTTTTCTAGAGTGAACAGAGAGACTTCTGCATTAGAGGGAGAGTGACTGGCAGACACCAGACAAGAGTGGAAGGGACAGACACTGGAATCAGAAAGAGAGGCCCGGAGAGTGGAGAGGTGTGGAGGAGCCTGCGCTCTGGGCCTGGCTCACTGTCCCCCACTGTTAGACTGCAGGAGCAGTGGGCAGGCCTGAGGTGTCCTGGCCCCCCGGTCAGGGTATTGCAGGCCTGGCACCTGTGAGCTGTGACTGCCTGTCTTTGTTAGCTCTCAGGCCATGCCTTCGCCTTCTCCCTCACTGTACCTTTCATGGAAAGCACTCTGTAAACTGCAGTGCCAAGCATGGTTGACTAGGTCTGGGTTTCTCAGTGGACCAATGGGTCTGCACCTCTGCCTTCACAGGCTCAAGTTTGCTCCTGTGTTTTCAGTCTCTCCCTTCCCACAGTTGACCCCCCCCCCCCCAGGCCTTCACCTAGCATTCTCGAAGTCTTTCCGGATAGCAGCTGTTCAGTCAATACTCAGTACAAGAGGACAGGGTCCAGGATCCAGCCTACTGGATTTGAACAGCTTTTGAGACAGTATTTCTTAAAGGCCAATAGTATTTCTTAAAGGCCAGATACCAGATAGTGGACGTTTTAGGGGTTATTTTGAATTAAGTTGAAGGAAAGCTAGTTGGGGTAATCAGGACCCACCATAAGTTGAACATTCCTTACCTGACATGATTGGGGTCAGAAGTGTTTTGAATCAGGCCAGTTTGGGATTTTGGAATAGTTACACAATCTACTGTTGGACCATCTCTAACCAGAAGCTCTGAAATCTGAAATCCTTCAAAATCTGAAGTGTTGAGTGATGTCTCACGTTCTAATCTGAATGTGAATTTCAACATCTGTGCTAAGGACGCTCAGGCTTTAGAACACTGTACATTTTGAGACTGTCCTGTGGAATTACATTCCTGTGTGTCCTACACAGACTCTGGGTAAATACAGCAACTCTGTGCTTCACATGGCTAGGGACTGGCCCACTGGCCACAGCTGACTACCACTTGGTTTACATGCTCTTCCTGTGTGGTCTGTATCTGCTTTCGTGCCGTCACACCAACAGTGAATCCCTGTGACAGGAGGCTGAGCACACATGGCTCTGGTTCTTCAGGGACCATTCTGTGCTGGAGCAGAGCGTGTACCTGGCTGTCGCAGTGGAATTGATTGTTTTCTAGGAACAAGGTTTGTGCTGTTTCCATGGCAGTGGTTTTTCTCAGGGAACTTTCTAACTTGCTTTGAGTGCCTTGGCCTCCTGAGTGAGAGTCACAACTGTGACAAATATATAATGGAATATCCAACCAACCAGACTAGTTAGGATATGTGGAGTGAGTTTTAAAAACTAATGTGCTGTTTTGAGTTTCTCCTCCCTTTTTTTTCTTTCCTCTTTCCCTTCCCTTCCCATACCTCCCACCAACCACTTGAACAGGTTTGAAATCTTCAGCAACATCTGCAGCAAATAACACTCACCGTGAAGGAGCACTCCGCCTTGGAGAAAGGGTGCTGGTGGTAGGCCAGAGAGTGGGGACCATTAAGTTCTTTGGGACAACAAACTTTGCTCCAGGTAATTGCCCCAAACAGTCTTGTTTCAACACCAATCTTGTACAAAGGTTTAAAACTTAAACAGCAGATGGGACTTAGTCCTAGGGAAGGTCTCCCTTCCATCCCATTTCTTATGGCTGGCAGCAGAGGCAGAGAGTGGAAAGTGATACAACCATCTGTACTAGACTGACTGACGTCCGTGGAATTCTCTTGCCAACTGTGTTGATCATTTGTCTAGTATTAAAATTAGTTTTGACTTCCCTAGTTTATTCTGGCCGCAGAGTGTGCTAAATACCTGGAAAGTATTTCAGGACTGTCACCCCTCCCACCTTCCTAATCCTAGAGTTGAGCAGATAGATGGACCATCTTGTTTTTTTTATCAAAGCAGTGCTTGGAGGGAAAAGCAAAGAAGATATAAAAGTTGTTGTGTGTCCTATGACCTAAAAAAAATACATGTCTGTGAACTTAAATATTCATCCCAATTGACCTAAGACTGTTTCCTAAAGTAAAGATTGGTGCTGGAGAGATGGCACAGTGGCTAAGAGCACTTACTATTCTTTCAGAGGATCTGGGTTCAGTTCCCAGCATCCTACATCAGGTGGCTCACACCTGGTTATAACTGCAGATTCAGGGATTTGATACCCTCTGGCCTCCATGGGCATCTGCATATCTGGGCACATAAACTCACAGTTAAATATATATGAATAGAAAGAATAAATGTTTTAAAAGGTAAAGATTATCTTCCCTTGTATTTCCACAGATGAGAAGCCAGTTGCATGGATCCATATCTGTGGTTTAAGTAGCAATATGCCATATTAACACATGGTGGCATTGCAGCATTTGAGGAAAGGTTATCTATGAGATTGAAAGAGAAAAGTTTGTAGCTTAGTGTTTGTTAGAATCCATGAAGGAGCTGAGATTTTAATTCTCTCTCCAAACCAACAGATTAGCCTGCCACAGCGTCATCTGACCAAAGCCGTAACAATCTTGTGTCAGAGACAGGACTAGACTACTCACAGCAATAGCAGGAGGCAGAACAGCAGCACCTTTCTGTCCTGGTTCTCAAGCCCCAGTTCCCGCTGGCTGGTGCAGAGAAGGCCAGGCGGCACCTGCACACCCAGGAGCCTATGTTCTAGATCAGCCTGAACTGTCTCAGGTTTTAGGCTCCTTTGCTCTGAGCTTGTGGCTCAGCATGGCTGCTGCCACCGCACTGGACAGAGACCCCACCAGTTCAACAGGAATGTCCACTGCTGTGTATGAGACTGAGGCATGGGAACCAGGCAGATGTCTCCAACATGCTTGCTCTTCTTTGATTAAGCCGGTGCTTTGTTTGAGCTGTGTTAGAATTCAAGCCTCCCTTGGGCCTCTCTTACATCTCACACTAGATAGTGAGTACATAGCATAGCTCTCTGCTAGGCTGTTTTCATGACTGCTGTGCCAGAAAAAAAATATATATGTATATCACACATTTCCAAGAGTTACATAGTAAACACGTAGCAGAAATGTAGCCAGTTACAATGGGACTTTTAATGAAAGAAAACAACATTACATGGGAAGGGCTATCAAACATAGAAGGAAGTGAGACCTGGTACTCAGAGATCATTCTAACCAGATTCATCTGGTTTAGGCAAGTCAAAAGCTCAAAGTCTGTTTTCAAAGAATTAGTGTGGTTAGACAGAGAGGCTGATAGACACTGCTTATATGGCATCGTAGGACTACCTGAGTCTTTTCAGCCCCAATCTGAGTATCTAGAATGGGGTCAGGTGTATCATCAACCAACCAACCAACTAACCAAACAATCAACTAAATTAAAAAAAACAAAAAAAAACAAAAAAATGAGAATGTATTCTAAGTTGGCTTCTAAGGTTCCTGTAATTGAAACTGACTCTGAGCTAGCAATCTGAAAGAAAGGATATTTTGTATTTCCTAATTTGTAGTAAGTTAGTTGGTATTCACACACCCATTCTTGCTGTTGATTTTAGAAGACCAAATGATCACATACACATTCTTTATTTGTTATTGATTGTAAAAGACCAAACGTGCTGCATGCTCAGACTATAAGTGTGTGAACTGTTTAGCTGATCTTAGAAACCCCAAGAATCTCTGCTTTAGAATATGTCCACCTAGCTCACACTACTGGAAGTGCAGCCCTGTTGCTTTGGTTTAAGCCTCTCCTGGGACTCGATTTTCTCATAGCTAACCCCATAGATACTGTCTTCTAAGACAGGTTCTCCTATTAGCAAACCCATGTCTTCATTTACTTGGACGATGGAGTGGTATCACGGTGTCTCCTGTGTTATCTCTGCCCTTGTTTAATTATTTAATGGATGTTTGTGCTGTTCTAGCATGGGAGGGGATGAGCTGGAGAGCTGTCCACCTGAGGATTCATGCCTCTCAACAGCATTCTGTGCTGCTCTCACCGAAGCACATGTTAGAGTCAAGGACAGTTTCTTTTGCATTGTAGTCTTAAGATGTATTTTGGTGGCGTTCTCCTTGCATGATGGCTAATTCCCTGCAAATCTGAGTTTGTGCGTTTTATTTTTCCTTCCTTAATGTACTGCTCTGCAATCACGTCACTGAAACGTTTCTCCCACTTTTCAAATTTTCAAGTTTTATTTTATAATTTTATCATCTGAGAGCTTAACAATTATGATGATCTTCCATCATCTTGGTCATTTGTGAAAACGCCGAGCCATCCCGACTTTGGGTTCCTATTACCACATAGCGATTGTGAATGAAGAACAGACGCCTTTAAAATGCAATATTCATGTTCTAGGGTATTGGTACGGCATAGAGCTGGAGAAGCCCCATGGGAAGAATGACGGTTCGGTTGGAGGTGTGCAGTATTTTAGTTGTTCTCCAAGATATGGAATATTTGCCCCCCCGTCCAGGGTACAGAGGTGAGGAGAAACTGCAATGTGCATCTATTTACAGAAACTCTGCAATTCCCTGTGGCACATGGGGACCCTGATTTCATCTGAAAGATAAGCACATGTGTTCCTTCAACGGGTTAACCGGCCACCTTCCTCAGAGGGAAGGCTCATGGGAAGCTAAATTTGCCTTGCTGAGGATTTGCAATTTTAAAAACCTCCTTTCTTCCTCATTTGCAAACCCTATGAGTGTGTGTAGGCTATTAGAAGTGGCGTTTGAAGCTAAGAACAGTGCAAGGAACGAGCTTAATCCGTCATGCAAACAAAAGTAAAAATGCTCTCTGATTGCTTCAGTCACATCCTAACTACATTAAATTTCCTGCCAGCAGGCACCCATTCACTCTCCTACAAACCTAATGGAACCAAAATGGCTTTTTCCTTTGATTTCCTTAGTTTTCAAAAATAGATAGGCAGTAGCTCTCCGGGGGAAGTGAAGTCTCAGGGATTTATATGTAACAAACCTCCGGAGTGTTTCATGGTAAGGCAGTGCACTTATGTGTCACCTCACTCTGGGTTTTAAAAGCAAGCTTATCCAAAACACAGGCCCTCGTGACATTCCGGTGGAATCTGGAGCCAGGAAAAACTGGTTCTGTCTGCTTTTCAGAGGCTAGAAAAGGGGATTATAATCTCTGGGCAAGATACAACATATGTGGTATAGTCATGTTCATGAGCCTAGAACTGTGTTGGTGGCCTGGGAGTCCCTACCGGTCCCCATTTAGCTGGACACTGATGGTTTCTGGGGAAATTGCTATACCCTTACTGGGCGTATACCCAAAAGATGCTCCAACATATAACAAGGACACATGCTCCACTATGTTCATAGCAGCCTTATTTATAACAGCCAGAAGCTGGAAACAACTCAGATGTCCCTCAAGAGAAGAATGGATACAGAAAATGTTGTTCATTTACACAATGGAATACTACTCAGCTATTAAAAACAATGAAGTTTTTTGTTTTTTTTAAGTCATATTCTCCCTCAGTGTTTTCTTTTTCTTACATATCCTTTTGGTGTTAATTCTCTTTGTTTATAGTATACTTGATACATTGTTCTTTACAGCAGTGAAGCCTTCGGCATACAGTACTTTGTAGCTCATAAAGTGTCTTCCCTCAGTGTTGTTTCACTTGATCCTAATAAGTCTCTGGCCAGGTGAGTTGGAAAATAACCCTAAGTACCATCAACTCTTACTGAGCATTTAATGGGAGGCTCTATCCTGAGCACCCGAGTAGCGCCCACCATTGTTCTCTGCAGACCCCAAGGAGCCATGAGAGGCTATGTTTATTCCCACCTTACAGGTGGGAAAATAGTTTTCCAGAGATAAGATAGCAGAGCTGAAGTCACATCACTGGGTAATAGAAGAGCTAAGCTTGGCCCGACTTTGTTAGTTTCCTATCTCTCCCAGGCCCATGCTTTTAGCTGTTAGCATGTACCATTGTTGGGCACCATCCTCAGAGTTGTCCCTGAATCAGTGACCTAAAGCATCTCATTGGGCAGGCCCTGTAATTGTCTCTGTTCCACAGAGGAAGAACATCAGGCCCAGGCAGCTAATGCCAACTGTATGCTGCAGGGGGATTTGAATCCCCAGCTATCTGGAGTCAGAAGTCAGCTCTTTGCCATAACCTTGTGGTAGTTACTGGGCTTTTGTGAGTCTCCTCTGGACCTGTGTCTGGCAGGTGATTGACAAATCAAACTAACATAAGGTATTAGGTTAGGTTAGTTTGATTTGTCTCCCAGTCACAAGGCCTGGGGTTCGTCTCATGTCTGGTTACCTTGAGTTCAGGATTGGGCATATTTCAGGCACTGTAGGGTACCAGTGGGCCCTGTTGCCAGTTCTGTGCACTTTACACCACAGCAGCCTTTTTTCTGCCTTGACTTGTGAAGCCACATTTTTCCTGTAGTTCTATATTTTCACTGCTGTGTTTACAGAGCGCACATGGCCTCACTCTGTTTCTCTTGCCTTCTGTTTGGTCTTCTCCAAGGTAGTGCATTTGAAAGCAACCCCCACTCCTTAAAAGAAGCAGGGCTCTGTTGAAATACCCAGTCTCCATCCAGCTGTCTTCCTGTCGTCTTCTGATTGTCTCATTCATCATCATCAAATACTATTAAGTGTCTTTTCGCACTTTGTGCTGTGCTAGGCATTCCATGAGAAACAAAACAGGCATGGTCTCTGATTTTAAGGCATTCCTAACGCGAGCCAGTTTGGAGCTCTTTAAAGGCCCCCACTGGTCGTCAAGATGGGAAGATCTTACAGTGTGGGCTGGGGGAGACTATCCTGGTGACTAGTCACATTGTGACCCCTACTGCTTCACCTCAGGGTCATAGCTGGCTTTTCATCTCTCCCCTTGGCATTTTTAAAATGTGTGCTTGTCCCAGGATCCACCCACATGACTTCCTCTGTTTGAATAGATTGCCCGCTTTATCTGTAATTATACAATTTTCATTTAGTAAGTTGCCTTGGTTAATAACATCAGCGAATATTCTTTAAAGACTGTCTAAGGAAACTTACTCACTGCCTAGCTGGTCCTCAGAAACATCCCATTCTTTCCTGTTGCTGTAGGAATTATTTCCAACGAACTGATCACTTGTGGAAGTAGGTTCCTCCTAGCTGTCCATCCCTCTTCATGCCAGTACCTGCTGCTTACCAGGCTGCAGGCTCTGTCCAGCCGCCCCTCCTCAGTTGTCATGTGGTGTTGAGAACTGTAAGAAAGCTGTAAGAAAACGATGCACACAAACTGCAGGGCGCAGCTAAACACACTGCAGGGGCTGCGGGGTTTGTTTTGTTTTATGGATATAAAGTGTGTGAGAAGTGTTTGGCAGATGAAGGTTTTGTAGATTTAGGTCAGTAGACAGCTGAAGAAAAAATGAGACTTTCAGGACCTGACTTTTTAAAAATAATGATTTGAATATCAAAAAATGAGGAGGTACTCGCTGGGAAGGTGACCTTTGCAGTGGTGGGTAGAGTCCAGCACAGAGGGCCTTGGATTATATTGCCAAAAAAATTATATACATATACATATTCAGACGGTCTCTTTTTTCCAATAACAGAATTGGTGATATTTTTATAATTTTAATCTTTTATTTATTAAACTTGGTATAAAATAAACTTGTCTCTGTATTTTTTAGTTTTACCTTTGAAGATAAAATTCCAAAGCAAAGTTAGCAGTTATCATGGGTCCAATTCCTAGCACTGAACAACAACAATGACGACAACAACAACAACGACAGGGCCGAGGATGTAGCATAGTGGCAGGGTACTTGACTATCATTCCCAACTCCACAAAGGTCACCAAGCAAATAAATGTCAGAAGTCAGGTCCCTGTTTCAAATGAACTGAATTCTCCAGCCCACCTGTCCTTGGTAGTGGCGACCCACTCCATCTGTGTATTGCCCGTCTCCCATGCTAGAGTAAAGCTCTTACCTGGCTCGTGTGGCTGCACAATAGATGTTTGTGGAATGAATGAGTGGGGAAACAGATACAGCTGATGTGAAAGTGTCCGGAAGAGTCCACCTTACTCGGGAGGCCAGCTATACCTAACGTGGTGTGCTCTGTTTTATTCACAGGCTATCAGATTCCCTGGATACGCTTTCAGAAATATCTTCAAGTAAACAGAATCATTCTTATCCTGGTAAGATTACGGTTTTTAAATCCAGTTTAAAATATTTCTTTACTGTCACTCACTGAAACATATTTTAACTGTTAAATATCTGTATCAATATGTTTCTATCAATTTCTGAAGTGCTTCAGTGTAGTACAAGTAAGCTTGGAGCAGATCTGTTTCCTGCCCAGCTGCGAGCCTACCTCCCTCTCCCCTGCCTCCCTTTGGGTATCCCTTGCTAAGGTTGGGAGCCTAGGATTGTGTATTCACGATTCCTTTGGTTTTCTGATCTTTTCTGCCACTTGCAACTGTATCAGTAAGCAGCGCTTTGTTTCCATTATCTGCTATTTCGTCTTAGCACTCCATGGGACACGTGACTGATTCTATAGCTGTTGCTTATTTCTGCTGCATCCTGGTTTTTATTATTACACTGTCGTGTGCACATGCAGACGTGGCCTTAGGGTTGGTAAGCATGGCTGCCACACCCGTGCTGTCCCCAGGGGATGCCAGGTGTTTGCACTGCATGTTCCCCTCAGCCTCTGACTAGACCCTGTTCCTCTCAACTGCCTCTTGTTCTGTGTGGAGATAGTTGCTACCCTGCTAGATGTAAACAGTATTTCATTGTGACCTTAATTTGCGTTTTTCAGATTTAATTAGTTGACGTGAAAGCAGTTGGGCCTCTCAGTTTTCAGTTTCTGGGACATGTGCATTGCCTTTTCAATGTTTAAACCTCTCACTTGTTCTTCCTGTTAAATTTTCGCACGTAGCTTGGAACAGACCACCACAGACGAGATGGTTCCATGAGGGGGAGTTTATTCAGGAGATAGGGAAGAGGAGAGAGAGAGCAGAGAGGTAGAGGAGTAGAGGCCGGCCATGACCACGTGGAGAGAGGGGGAAGGGAAGGGGGGAGGGGAGAGGGGACAGAGAACCTGCAGGCAGGGATCAACAGAGCAAGAGAGAGAGGAGGGGGCAGGCAGCCTCTTTTATAGTGGGCAGGCCTACCTGCCTGTTGCCAGGTAACTGTGGGGAGGAGCATACCTGGCTGTTGCCAGGTGACTGTGGAGGTGGAGTTTAGACAGAATCCTAACACTTCCTTCCGGTGGTCTGCTTCTTATCTTGGTAATTTGTAGGTTTCTTTCTATATTTTGAGAATGCATCTTTCAGTGGTTTATGTGTTACTAATATGTACCGGCTGATGACATACCTTCACTTTTCTGACATCTTTTGGTGAGAATGCTTTTTTAATTTTTACGTACTTGAAGAATAAAACATCTCATGGCTTGCTTTTTTTTTTTTTTATCTTAAGAATTTTTTCCTCCAGGGACAGAAACCATAAGGCTCCTTCCTGGATTTTTTTTTTTTAATTTTGGTTTTGTGTTTCATATTTGTCAGTTTACCCAGAATTGATTCTGTGTGTGTGAAGGATTGGGTTTGATTTTCTTTTCCATTTGTGGGTAACGACTTATGAAAGTTGTTAGTGTAACAACTCCCCTTGAATGTCTGTTGCAGTTAGCCCATGATTGTGGTTTGTCTCCATTCTAGAGGACATGCTCTGATGGGGCCTTCCTGATGGCGTGTGCCTGTTCTGACCTACAGGCGGATGTGTTCCGCTGGGACTTTCCATCATCATAGTGGTTTTCTCCATTGTGTCTGTGATGCATTCCCCTGCTGTGTGTATGTGTGTGTGTGTGTACGTGCATGGTGCATGTGTGTATGTTTGTGTGCATGCCACTGTGTATCTGTGTGCATGTGTTTGTGTGTGTGCGTGAGTGTGCACATGTATATGTCGATGCATGTGTGTGTGTGTGTGTGCATGTGTGTGTGTGTGTCTGCATGGGTATGTCTGGGTGTGTAAGTATCTGTACTTGTGGATGTGTGTGTGTGCGTGTGTCTGTGTGGGTATGTCTGCATGTGTGAGTATGTATGTTATGTATGTGTGTGATTTCGTGTGCATGTGTCTCTGTGTGGGTGCATATGCGTGTGTCTGTACATGTGTGTCTGTACATGTGTGTCTCTATGTGTGAGTGTGCGTGTGTGTATATGTGTGTGTGTGTCCTCCAACTTTATTCTTCACTGATATTGTGTTGGTTATTCTGGATTTTTTTTCATTCTCATGTAAACTTTATGATCATTTTGTTGAAATCTACATAGTAGCATGCTGGACTTTTGAGGAAGTTGGGAAGATCTGGTCTTACTACTGTTCTGTCTGCAAACATGGACACTCTCTCTCCACTTACTTATGTAACCCCTTTTGTTTTCTGTGAAATTGATTAATCCATTCAGTCATCATCTGAATATATTAAATGGAAAGTTCCATAAATAAGCAACCCATAGGTTTTAAGTGTCACATTATTTTGAGTGGCATGATAAAATGTCACACAGTCCTGCCTGGGACATAAGTTGTCCTTTTGTTCAGCATATCTGGTGCGTGTTGCCTTCCCGTTGGTCCTTCATAGTCCTCTGGTTACAGATTGATTGTTTGTGTTGAGCTAACTGTACTTTCACTTAGTAATAGATGTAAAAAGTAGTGGCCCCAGTAGTCTGACTGTTAGACAGAAGGCTTCAGTATCTCCTCTTAAGTGAAAAGGTGAAGGCTTACTGTACAGTGTGCTTGTGGGAGAGTCACATTGGGTGTGGGCCTGTACATCGAGGCACCCATGGCCAGCCCCAGGAACACGTGGACGAGATACCGCTGCTGTGCACCTTCTCTGGCCTGTCAGGATTTTGTAGTTTTCCTCATACAAATTGTGTACATGTTTTGTTAGATTTTTATTTAGTATTTTTGGTTATTTAATGTCATAACCTCTTTCTTTCCCCGTTCCTGTTCTCTCTCTTCTCTATCCTTTCCCGATCTTACTCTCCTCTCTCTACAGAGTATCACCATGTATCCCAGGCTAACCTCAACTCACAGCTCTTTTTGTTAGCCTCCTGAGTGCCAGGGTTGCAAGGATGCACTGAAAAGCTCTGCCTGGTATTCTTTTATAACATCCTTGTGTCTCTGTTCCAGCCTTCGCTTGGTTAAATGTTTCTCTGACAAGTTTTTTATTGACTTACTCTCTACCATAATGCTTTCAGAGTACCTTCCTAAGCAGAACATACTAGGGTTTTACTTAGAAAAAAAATCTGGCTGGGTGTGGTGGCACATGTGCAGGTAGATCTCTTGAGTTCGAGGCCAGCTTGGTCTACAAAGTGAGTTCCAGGATAGCCATTGCTACACAGAAAAACTCCAGCTGAAAAAAATAAATCTTGTTGTCTTTATCTTTTACTCTGAGAGTTCCAATCATTTTAATTTATTGCTATAATTGATGTATTAGCAATGTTCTTTATGCTGTTTTACTTAGTTCCCATTCCATTTTAAATGTTTGTTTGTATGTATGTCTCTTTGAGAGTGAATGAGCATATATTCTGGGGGGCTCTGGGTGCCATGGAGGTCAGAAGAAAATGTTGAATTCTTCAGAGTGTAGTTACAGGTATTTCCTGTATGCTTGGCTTGCTATGTGGGTGCTGGGATCTGAACTCTGGTCTTCATGATTGCACAGCAAGCTCTCTTAACCACTGAGCTATCTCCACAGCCCCTAATCCATTTTGGGTTTTATGTATTGTAAATGATGAGTTTCTAAATAAGTCATAAATGGTGGATGTTTTCTGTTTTTTTGTTTGTTTTTGTGTTGTTGGTTTTGTTTTGTTTTATGCAGCATCTTTAATAGTCCTGGCTAACTTAGAATTCCTTGAACTCAGGGAAGTCTCCTCTCATTGCTTCTGCCTCCCAGTGCTGGGATTGTGGTGCACCACCACACCCAGCTCTCACTTCCTGCTCGACTTTACTCTGTGTGTGTTCCTGCCATTTCTTTTTCTGCACTGTTTACTTCCCTACTGTGTATGAGCTGAATTCTGGGTAGGAGACCTGGCAATTATCATAGATCATTTAATGTACACACTGTTTAAAGTCAATCATTCTTACCCCCTTCCTACACAGTTTGAATCCTTAGAAACTGAGCTGTTTTGGTTCTGTTTTCGCACCCCTGTAAAGGAGACATCATCACCATAGTTGTTCTGTAGTATTTTATTTCACTTCTATCTTTACTCATCCATAAACATAACTTCCTCTTAGGGTAACTTTGTTATGGCCTGTGTATACTCTTCTTCTTGTTGTTGTTTGTCTTTTCCAGTGGCATTTTTACTGAATGTAGAATTTTCTCCCTGTAGACAGAAGCTCTGGCTGCTGTCATAAGTCTGGTGTCTGACCAGTCCTTGTTGTTGTAGGTGGTTTATCTGGTCTTTTTGTTTTGTATTCTCTGAAGATGTCTTCCCTTTGTGCCGTGCAGTTTTATTAGGATATGTGCAGGTAGAGATTTCTTTTTGTTAACCCTGTTGGTACTTTGGGTCTTCCTAGATTTGGAGATTGACATCTAAGTGAGTCTTGTGTCTGTCACAGCTTATCCCTCTGACAAAAATGCCTTTAGCGTTATCCATTTCCTGTTTCTCTCTTCAACTGTGTCTGTTCCAGTGCTTGATCCAGCCGCCCCATTAATAATCATCAAAATGTCTTCTTTTCTTCTTGCACATCTTGCTACCATTCATTTTCCCGTGTGCTCTCAAGCTCATGTCTCATGTCCTTAACATCTTAAGTCCATCTGTTACTGTGTGCTAACTAGTTTAATGTCTGAAGCTTTGCTGTATCTAATTCCACACCCTGTGTCTGTTGATCCTGATTTATGTCTCCTCTCCTTGTGACTTTCTAATTTATTACTGAGAAATGCTTGCTTAATTAGAATTTTATAGATGGCAGTTCTTTGATACATTCAGATAAACTGACTTCTGTTATTTCACAGAAAGTCTACCACCCCAGACAGAACTACTTTGCCCTACACTCTATGCAATAGGTTTTTTTTTTTTTTTTTAATGACATAGATAGCATGAATTTACTCATGGCTACAAAATCCGAGTGTAGTAATTCCAGCTTTGCACTGATAAAAAAGCCATTGTTTCATTTGGTTTCTTGCCCAAGATAACACTGAGGATGAACTCCTTTCCCAGAGTCTTTGCGAGGGTCCCCATATACCAGGCTTTGCTCTTCTGGGTCCTGTGTACCCAATCAGGAGTCCAGTATCCAGGGATCAAGTGACAACCCTGTGGTACAAAGTAAAATTGCACACCGAGTGCCTGACAACCTCTCCTGCCTTCTTTCTTTTTTATGGTTTAACCTCTTTGAAATTGTACATTGGGGTCTGGGGTATGTCCCCAGCATGAGTGTGCATGCTCATGTGCACACACACACACACACACACACACACACGGGTGGGGGGAGAGAATGACTATGAGTCAGCTCAGCAGTATAGTCTATAAAAATTATAGTTGTTTTAAATTGGAGTTACTTTAATCAAGAGATTTGCTCAGCACTTCTGATTTGCCAGAATTGGAAATTAATTTTCTCTTTTAAAGTCTACCTATTGTTGAGTCTCTTAATCTTTGAGCTTTTGTGTATTGGGAGGGCACACTGAGGAGCTCTGAAGTTTACTGTCCAGTGTTCTATTCTTGGAATATTTTTAATGACAGTTAAAAAAAACCACGATTTTTATATGATTATCAACATTATAATATTTTATCATATACCAATCTACTTTATCAGTGTGTAATTTGGTATTATTTGGTTTTCAAGAGATCTTACAGGAGAGAGCTCTGAGAGTCACATTGTGCCCACCACTTATCCCTGTGTGAGCAGAACCTGATAAGAAGGCAAAGATGAGGAATTGTCTAGGAATCTCACCTACAGTTATGTTCTGGGTGTGCATGTGCCTTCATTCCATTGTGTGATGCTGTTCCTAGGGAGATGTGAGCAGATATGTACTCACCCTGTGTAGGAACCGACAACACAACAAAGTTGGATCATCAAGGTCCAACTTAGTGAACCAATGAGTTTTATTGAGACCACTTGTGGGAATATGGGTGAAAGATTATTTATAGGAGCAGAAGTGAGTAGAGACAGCTGCATCACCCAAGCCCACTCCAGCATGGGTGACAGACAACTCATGAAAGCTAGACACTTGGAGTATGGTGCACAGCCTGCAGGCAGCTCAGCAGACTGGAGGATATCCCTTTTGGGCAGCTCAGGTGGGGTCTGGTTTCTGTCTCTTCTGCCTATGTGTGCTCAGGGAGAGAGGGACATATTGTATCTGGTCAGTTTCAGGGACTTCCTGATGGATTTGAGTTGTTTACTTCCTGAGTTTAAGACACTTCCCTATAAGATAGAGAAATTTTATCTTAGAAGAACTGCTATGTAGCAGTTTTCTCCAGGAACAAAACAAAATAAAACAAAACAACCTATAGTGTCATGGAGCACTGTAGAACTGATTAAAAATAACTCAATGTAAACTCTGAAAACGTGACATATTTTCCTCTTCTGTCCTTCACTCTCACTTTTAGGTTTTAGGAGAAGTTTCAGCACAACCTCTGCTTCTTCTCAAAAAGAGATTAACAGGAGAAATGCTTTTGCCAAGTGAGTATTGAGAAGCCTTAGAAAACTACCTTTCAAGACGAGTATGCCGGGATTCTGTGAAGGAAGAAAAATGGAGTTTTGTATCGTACGCCCCGCTCGGTAGAATGTTAGCACGTAAGAGAGAAGGTGTGACCGGTGTGTTGAGTTCTTCTTCCCTCCTTTAAAAGCTCAATTAAACATGTCACAAGTGGCTAAAAGCAGCCCACTGTGTGTGTCTTCTCGTCTAAGAGGTTAGTATGGCTGCTAATATAAGCTGGGGGAATTCATGTTGTGTTTTCATTGGGTAAGGCCGGTTGATTTTCAACTCCTGTTTACTGAATTAATCAGATCTGATTTAATATGTTCAGCCATGCATGAATGAAATTAAAGAAACATAAGACCCGTTTGCGTAAGGCACTCAGAATTATCATTTTTTAAAATGCTTTGGCTTCCCCTAGTAGTGTACACTTCTCACAGATTTGGAGTTTGAAATCGCTCTTCCTGCTCAAATAGCCAAGAGATTAAGGACAGTAACTTTATGCTCCAGTGCATTGGAGATATTCAAGGGCTCTTAGGCAGAATGGAAGATAGTACTAAGAAGAGACTGCCTGGACAGTGTGGAGGTTGGTGAGCAGGAGGATGACACAGAGAACTGAGGGAAGTGTTGCTCCCTGGCAAGGACATAGCAGCAGGTCACATGCACGTGGTGGACTGCAGACACGAGGAACAGGTGGTAACGCTTACCTGCTTCCTATAGAAATAGCAAGAAATTGAACTTTATAGATGAATGTAATATATTTTTATGAGTTATTTGAGAATGTCACATGCACACAGTATATTTTGATCATATTCACCCTTATTCCTTCTACATCCATCCCATATTCCCTTACAAATTCATGTCTTAAATTCTCTGAACCTATTTTATATTCACATAAACTCATAATAAGTGCAGGGCCATTCTTTGGATTGGACCTATCAGGGGCCACCAGTAAAGAAAACTCTGCTTCTCTTCCCCCAGAAGCCATTAACTACCAGTCGTGCTTCAGCTGAGGTTGGGATGGCGGCTGTGACCGCTTCCCCTCTGTGCTGGGGATGTTGGAAGGCTTGACCTTGTGTAGGTCTGACGCAGGAACCACAGCTTTGTGAGTCCATGAGTGCACCTCATGGCCAATAGATACTGTTTCATCTGGCCCTTCCTAACATCTGGTTCCTAGACATTTTTCTGGCCCCCTTTCTACAATGGTCCCTGAACCTTGGGTAATGGGCTGGGATACAGATGTTGCATCTGTGACTGAATAGTCCACAGATACTTTTGTATCTGTTCTAACTGCATCTACCACACAAAGAACCTTTTCTGATACAGTCTGAGAGCTGCACTGATCAATGGATGTAGGAGTATGAACTTAGAGGGCATTTTGATACTATGTCCATTTAGCAAAAGAATAGTAGTATGTCCACCTTGTGGCCTGTTGGCTTCCCAAACGTGGGTCTTTTGGCCAGATTTACAGAACCAGGTATGTGTTTCCTCCTGGAGTGGGCCTTTAATCCAAGCAGAAGGCAATTGGTCACCTCCATAACATTCATGTCACTATTGATTGATTAGTCCCATTGGGATATTTTGTCACACTGGTCCTTAGTATGACTCACAGGGTTCATGGATAGCTAAGACTGTTGGTGACTTTTCTTCTCAATAGCCCACATAACACCTTCTTGTATAGGGAGAAAGTTTTTCCTCAAAACCAACTTCATTTCTCTATCTTGTAACTAAATTGTGTGGTGTCTTCAGCAGTAGGTAGGGTCTTACCATCAATTTCTGGTACATCTAAGAGCAGCGGCAGTATCACACATGTGTGCGTGCATGTGCACGTATGTGTACACACACATACACACACACACACACACACACACACACACACACACACACACACTGACGCCAGAACTGTTGGAGTTGCAGGCATTTGTGACCTGGTTGCTAGAATCTAAACTCTACTCCTCATGATAGGACAGTGAGTAACAAGCCATCTTTCTAGCCTCAGTTATATGACACTTATAAAATGATAGGTTTCTGTGTGGCTTTCCCAAGCTTCCTTACAATTAATTATCCTTTGTCTCACCTCCCCCTGTGATCTACTTTCCATTCTTCCTCCAACTTAAACATCCATTCCCATGATTCCCATGATTCACCCCTCCTATCACCTATAAGATGACATCACCTATTACCTTATCCTCTATTATCCCTGCCTCTCTGAAAATTCTTCCCTGCCCCCACCAATGGTCCCTTTATAGTTTTCTAGTTTCATAGGCACTCCAAGTTAAATCTAAAGTTTCAATGCTAGGATCTATACAAATGAGAACAGGTGATGTTTGCCTTCATGGGTCTGGGGTACCTTAGTGTAATGTTTTCCAGTTCCATTGATTTACCTGCAAATCTCTCAGTTTAATTTTTCTTTACAGGTGAATAAAATTTCATTGTGTGGGGGTACCATGTTCTTATCTGTTCATTAGTTGATTGATATCTTGGCTGTTCACATCCTCACTACTGTGAATTTAGTAATAAGACACACAGATGAATGTATGCCTTTGTAGTAGGTATATACCCAGGAGTTGTATCTGGTTCACATGATAATTGTAATTGTAGTCTTTTGAGGACCTGCCATACTGATTTCCAGAGTGGCTGCACCAGTTTGTACTCTGAACAACACTGCATAAGGGTTCATTTCCCAGATCTTATCCATCAAGAAACATGAAATTGGGGCTGGAGAGGTGGCTCAGTAGTTAAGAGCCCTGGTTCTCTAGAGGACTAGGGGTCAGTTCCACACAGCAACTTGAATCTGTGTAAGTCCAGTCCCAGGGCTCTGCTGCCTGCTTCTGGCCTCTGCAGGCACTGTACACTGTGACATATAGCCAAACATCCCACCTAAAAGTCTATACATGGAAAATACAGTAAACATCACAACTAAAAATATTAAAAATAGTGAAACTCACAAGAGTTATTTTAAGATTTTGTATTGTGAATGTTTTACCTACATTTGTGTCTATGTACAGTTTGCATACTTGGTGCCAAAGCAGGCAGAAAAGGGCATCAGATCCCTCGGAACTGGAGTTAACAGACTATTGTGAGTCACCATGTGGGTGCTGGGAGTTGAATCCGGGTCCTCTGGAAGAGCTGCCAGTACTGGAACTGCTGAGACTTTTCTCTAGCCCCTTCAGAGTCCCTTTAATTTACATTTTCCTGATGGCAAAGAATGGATGGTGAATACGTTAAAAAAGATTTCTTAGCCATTTCGTTTTCTGAGAAATCTTTGTTCAGTTCCATTGCCCATGTTTTAAAAGGGATGTCTGTTTTCTGGATGTTTAGTTTTTTGGTTTTTTGTATATTCTTTGTTTTTTATATATATTCATATATATGTAATTATATATATCCATCTCTATATCAGCCATCTATCTATCTATCTATCTATCTATCTATCTATCTATCTATCTATCTATCTATCTCTATATGTCTTTTTTTACATCCATATATTTATTTCTCTCTCTGTCTATCTTTCCATCCTATCTTCCTTTGCCATCTTGTGGACTGCCTCTTCACTGGATTAACAGTTTACTTTGTGATCCAGAGACTTTCATTTTTTGCAGTTCCACTTGTTGATCATTGGTTCCTGACAGGAAGTCCTCACCTCAGCTCCTGTCCTGAAGCTCAGTCTGAACGTTTCTCTCCTAGCACTCTTGGGTGTTTTGGTTTAGTGTTAAGATCTTTGATCCATTTTGGAATTGATCTGTGTGCAGAGGATGCATGAAGGATCAACTTTCGATCTTTATGTGAACATCCAGTTTTTCAGCACTGTTTATTGAAGATACTGTCTTTTCTCCAGTGTGTACTTTGGCATCCTTGTAAAAACCCAGGTGGCTGTAGGTCCAGGGGCTTGGATGTCTCTGTGTTCCTGGTTCTACTGCACCTGCTCAGTGTGCCCGGCTTTCTGCCAACACTGTGTGTTTTCACTGTGGCTCTCTAGGACAATTTAAAGTTAGGAATGGTGATACTTCCAGCAGAGTTTTTAATGTTCACAGTTGTTTTGGATATCTAGGGTCATTTTTTTTATTTCCAAGTGAATTTTAAGATTGTCGTTTGTTTTCAATTTCTGCTTAGAATTGCATTGGAATTTCTATGTAGATTACATTGAATCTGTATATTACTTTTGATGGGATAGCTGTTTTCAGGATATTAATCCTACCAATCCATGAGTATGAGAGGCCTCCCCATCTTCTATTTCTTCAGTGTCATAAGGTTTTCAGTATATGTGGTTGTCATGTTAAGGTTTATTCCAGGTTGATTTGTTTGTTGACTGTTGTGAATGTGATTGTTCCCATAATTTCCTTTCCAGGCTGTCTTTAGTAAGAAGGATATTGGTTTTGATATTCTAATGTGTAACCCACTACTTTGCTTTATGTGTTGGTCAGCTCTAGGAGTTTCCTGGTAGAGTCTTTGGGGTCCTTCATGCACAGAATCATGTCATCTGGAGATAGTTATACTTAGTCCTTTCAGTTAAACATCTAGTGACTATCTGTGATAAAAACTGGAGAGACAAAGCATGGAGGGAACATAAGCAATAAAGACTAGATATGACAAACCAAAAGCCACCATCCTATTAAGTGGAGAAAAATACGAAGCATTCCCACTCAGATGAGAAGACAAGGCACCCACTTTCCCCTCCTGCTCAGTATAATGCTTCAAGTCCTGGCTGGAAATATGCTTCTGCTGAAAACATAGTCATTCTTTAGAATGAGTCTTGCCTATGGAACATGAGGGTGGGTGCATTGTTTTCTGATTACTGTTTGTGGGAACGTTAGACTTGGGTACTGGCTGTAGGTGGAAGTCTAGTGGACTCAGCTGTGTGCAGGTTGTATGGTTCTGCAGAGCTTGCTGGTGTGCTGGTGTTGACCTAGAGGAATCTGTGTAGGAAAGGTTTTGATGACTGATCAACATGGCGCTACTTATTTTTAATTATTCATATGGAAATAAATGATACCTTCAGAGCAAATGTAGAAAACAGAGATGGTAAAATCCTGGCTTGTGTGAGGCTGAGGTTGTACGAGGCATCAGACACATGGCGAGTGTTCAGAAAATACAGCCTATTGCCATGATTTTTCTGAAAAAAATGTCACCAGCTTTGTCTGGCTACAAAAAGCTTCCATTTGGTGGGAATTTGGAACGTGAGGGAATGGATGTTTTTGTGTAGGAGTAGAACTCATATGTTGCTTTTGTGTGTTCAGTAAGAATTTGTTTCTGTGCATTGCATTTTGCATTTGATGGGATAAATAATTGTAAATGTTTTGATTCTAGTCACTTCCTTTCTTCCTTTCCTTTTTGAAGTGGTTCTTCATATTGTCCAGGCTGACCTTGAGCTCCCGATCCCCTGACTCCAGCTCCCTGGCTGCTTGTCTTATAATCATAAGCCACCTTGCCTGACTCGGTATTTGCTGTTTTAAGACAGGATTTTGTCGTGTAAAAACAGCGTGTAGCCCACGCTGGCTGGCCTGGATCTCATTATGTAGCTGAGGCTGGACTTAAACTCATGATCAATTTGCCTCAGCCTCCTGAGCGTCAGAATTACGCATGTGTACTGCCATTTTGGGCTTTAAAAGTATTTCCAGATTACAATTTCTTCGTTTCTTGGAAGGTGTGGCATAGAAAAGTCTCTGAGCTCTGGTGTCCTAGCTTTACATTTTTAAGTCATCTTCCCTTTTACTGGGTGCCTAATAGAAACAAACAAGATACTGTGTGTGGTAACATATTTAAAACTGTAGAAAACAGGAGCTGGAGAGGTGGCTCAGGGGTTTAGAGCCTTCTCAGCTTTGCTTCACAATCATGAAGACTAGAGTTTAGATCCCTCACCCACACAAATCAGGTGTACCAGGAAACTCTATAACCCCAGGTTAGTAGAGACAGGAGGATGGCTGGGACTCGATGGCTTCCAGCTTTGAGTTCAGGGTGAGAATGGTTTCAGAAGAGTACATGGAAGGTACAGAAGGCACCCATGCCTTCTTCATCAGGCACATGTACAGACAGACACATGACACACTCAGACACACAATGAATTAATCTTTAAAAATGTAGAAAAGAAGACAAAAGGTGAAAGAAGTAGGCCCTGCTTCTCTTTACAGTAGGAAGAAGACCTTAGGCAGTTTGGGTAGCAGTTCCACGGGTGGGAGGGGGAGCTAGGGGAAAGGGGGGAGGAAAAGGAAAGGAAGAAGGGACTAGGGGATTGAAGTGGAAGACTCCTGGTTCCCTTGGCAGGCCCTGAATAACCATCTGGACTTCCTAAGAGAGAGGGCAACGGTGTCTGTTATGACTATCAGGGTCAGCTGCCTCCTGTGGACAAAGAGAGGTGCCAGTGTGGATAGGAAGGGGGCTCTGGGGGCAGTATGGGTAGTGGAGGGGCCCTGGGAGCATTATGGGTAGGGAGGGAGTCCTAGGGGGCAGTATGGGTAAGAGGAAGGGGCCCTGGGGGTCAGTATGGATAGGGAGGGAGTCCTGGGGGCAGTATGGGTAGGGAGGGAGTCCTGGGGGCAGTATGGGTAGGGAGGGAGTCCTGAGGGCAGTGCAGTCTCAGGCCTGTTTTGTTCCAGTCAGGTAGCTGGCAGGTGCTAAGAGGTGCCTGCT